CATTAAAAAAGTTATATTTTTCAAAGTCCCGGACTTTGTCTATGGAGGTACGCAGGGCTGTGGTGGGGACATCTATCAACCAAACGCGTCCCCTTACACACAGCACTGTATGCAGGGCTAAAGTAGTACTATGATCTTCACCATAATCATAAACAAAGGAATAACTAGGCATATAAGGCTTTCAAGTTCTAACCCAGGATCATATCCAGTCAACTGATTTTCAAATCAATAACGTATACTTTCGATAGTCAGGCACATTGTGACAAATTAGTTTTCTTTTCAAGTGAAATTTATTCAATCAAGTTGTTGCAAAATAGGGTAAATGATGATAATTTTGTAATTGCTAGTAATTGTGAACGTAAACGAAAATTACCCTGATGCCACGAATTATCCGAAAATAACACGGGTGAAAATCGATGTCATGGTTTGGATGTCAAGGTTGAAAGATTTCCTAACTTTTGTTATTATATGAGTGGTCGGCGAAATTACCGGCGACTGATTAAGTATTGACCCTACTTTAGGTTATTTTTATTATCCAAGAAACGTTCCGAGCGACGCCAATTATATTCACACAACATTACACATATATTCCAGATTGTATGAGTTTTACTGTATTAACATTCAAACACGCACATGAATACGTTTACCTTTGGTGAAACCTCTGTCCAATTCCAGGGTTTCCTTATTAACGTGTTTCTCAGTCCCCGGCAAACTCTGCACATGTATGTCGCCATTTTAACCCCTTGTAAATGTTGCGGTCAGAGGTTAAATAGATCTACCATTTATAACTATGGGTGATCCTTTTCCAAAGGTCCACGGGTTTCTGGACAATTATTCTATTCCGGTCATACAAAATATAATAAATTTTTCTCAGTTGAAAATTAATAATTAGTACAGAAATATCATAAAATAATTGACATTATTTGTATGTTTTTGTGCATTTTTTTATCTTCGCTGAAACCCTTCACGTGTAATACAAGGAGTCCGCTGTCGTGTCAAAATAACGCGAAAACCTGAAACTTCTCGCGAGATTTGCGTAGGTGGACATCGGCGATTTCGAGGGGTTTCCCCGTGTTAGTGTTTAAATTACTTGCAATTTTGCGGTCAACGCCAAGATTTAACTAACCAAATATAGTAGCAAAAGGTGAGTATGAATTGTAGACAACATTTGTTTCTAATTTTTACCGAAAAAACTGCAAACTATTTGTTAAAATGTCAGCCTGTGTGAAATTAATCAGTAGTGCAGCAACCCTGATCAGGAAAAAAGGCAGACAAATGGTATGACAACAAGCCGCCTACGCGGCCGATGACTTCCTTGTCTAATAACGTTCTGCATTGGTGATATCGCCAGGTGATATTTATCTTGTATACTCCGGCCAACTTCCGTTGGCTCTTATATACATAAAATTCTATTTTTTTCCCTGGAAACACACATGAACAGTACGGATGCTTGTAAATCATGCTATATAACTATTTTACGCAGACGCTTAAATCATTATAAGAACTCCTCCCACAACAGACTTCGATGTCGAAATAAGTCGCCCCCCCCCCTAAAAAAAAATTGTGGAGGGGGCCATTAAAAATTAGTATTCGCTGGGCACATTAATGAGACGTGCAAGTCTAATAGTCTGGATAAGGGTATGAAACTAGGGTGATGAAGATGGCAGACTTGGCAGTGTTCACAACAAATCATGAAGCGGTCACAGATTTCTAAACAGTGAAAATATTAAATTACAAAATTCTGAAAAAAAGAAATTATCTGTTTTCGTTTCCAATTGTTTTTAATTTGCCCTTCAGAGTATGTATACATGTCATCTTGAATAGAATCGCATGTTAAATAACCTGCAGCAATTTTTTTATTATAATTTTTGTTTTGTATCAAGATTATTCAAATACCACTACAAGAAATATGTTTAACATTTATTAATTGGTGCTTTCAAATACATAAATTAAAAGGTTTATATTGGGTCAACAAAAACAGGGAAAAAACAACCCCAATTCTACTACATGTATATGTGGGGAAAAAATGAATATTTCAATTGTAAATGCATTTTTTTTTCAATTAAATAACACTTTCAGCAGTGAGAAAAGTTAATAGGTTCAAGTCAATGTAACAAGTTTGTCTCTTCAATTATCCAGGGTGACCTGTATACAATTAGCAAGCCAATCATATGAGACATGTGACAGCCAATTGGCCTGACACCCACCCAACCCCCTGCACCACGATCATTATAATTTGTTGGCCAGTCAGTTCTATTCTACAATAAAAAATAGAATTTGCATACAAAATGTACTCTATTTCTTTATGATTGGTGTGGAAAATTTGCCAAACAAATGAGACAAATTTATATAACATTAGTGCTTAAAGAATAATAATGATGACGATATTATAAGAAGTATTAATATAAGTACATGTAACTTTAAATTCATATGAAGTTGTAACACTGTCCTTGTTATGTGCATTCTACAGTACTCAAAATTGTTAATGTCATAAATCATTATTATTATTATTATATGACAAGGACGCAGTTATAAATAATTTCCCAAGAGAAACAAGACTAGTTCTAAACATACTTTGAGTGATCATCATCATAATCTCAGAAAATTCATTCTGAACCATGCTTTTATGATACCTTCCAATTTTGTAATGTAGTTATGACCATGGAGCTCCATGTTATGACTAACCTTCCCTTGTCCTAAATTAGTGTCCCCTTCAGAGATCTGTATATGTTTTATTCCCTGGTTGCTCTCTATTATGGAAAGCAATGTTATTTACCTTTTCCTATTTTTCATGACTTTTTTGTGTCCATACTGAAAAATTAGTTTTGAATTACCACTGCCATTCTTCAATCTGTGAAAATCGAAGGATGATGGTACAATGTTTGCTCCATTAGAAGTACATCTTTAATAAAAGCCCATATAAATCAAATGTTATATTTATTGTATGCTTGTATTAAAATACAACTCATTTTTAACATCAACACATTCACATAAGTACATTTGCTACTAATAGAGCAATTAAGATGTTATTTGCATTTGTTCAATGTAACATTTCTTGGCCACTATCAATCACCACCACAACTTTTAATTTTTTAATTTTTATTCTTTTAACATGTAATAATTCGTTTTTAACTGCAGGGTCCCTGATCGATTGTTAAGCTGAACACTTGCCTGAACACTTAAAAGTCGACCGACTGTACTGTTGTTTCCAATATCGAAGACAGTGTTTCATATGCAGTGTCTGTCTTTGTTAATGAAAAGCATAGTACAATCGGCCGTACTCAACGATCAGCAAGACACAAGAGGTCATCATGTATATTTTGTTTAGTTTGTCTCTACCACAATAATCTAATAACTAGTTCACAGTGATAATTTTACAATATATTTTAAATCTTATCACAGATAGCTCACCTAAAATTCACAGACATATATATATATAAATAGCTGTCAAACCTCTGTCCCCATATGTTGCAGTCAGTGTTGTTCGTAAAAGACTCCAACGATGTATGAACCAGTCAATTCAGAACTAACCAGGTGAAAGTAACCTAATATGGCTGATAAAGAATCAGTAGTTGTCTCGTCCACTATTTCTCTATCTCCACCGCTACCCCAGCCTCAGTCCAGTAAAAATGCAATAATGGCTGATAGCTCTGGTAGTGATGGTAATGAACAAAGCCAAAGTACTGAGAATTGGCATCCAAAGTTAGATGAAAATTTTGATCTGGAGACTGTTTCATTGAATCCGTATCAGACCATAGACAGTCTTGACAACTCTGAACACTCGTCTCTCGAAACCTCTATACATGATTTGACTGAGAACATCGGAGATATCAACCATCATCATCTCTGGGCTGAAGAACAGGGCAGGTCTGAAGAGAATTCAGTAGATGATTTTGTATCAGTTAGATCTCTATTCACTAATATCACTGATTTTGAGGAAAACCCGCTCACCCTAAACATGGACGTAGTGTCGGCAGAAAAAATGAATCACCCTGGAGATGGTATCTTCAAAGGACATCCTCAGAAACGAAAAGTAGATAGTGATTCTAAAAACATGTTGGATAAGGATGTTATTGTGACAAGTGTTGCGAGGCAAAATATTAAAACTGTTGAACAAGATATGAGCAGCAAATCTGATTTCCCTGAAAGGCAGTGGAAGAAGCAAAAAGTTGATTCTGATTTTGGCAAAACTGAATTATCGCAAATAAAGATTAGTTTTAAAACTGAAATGGAAAAACTTGGCAACCGAGAAGTATTCTTTCATGGAAACCATGGAAGTGCAGGACAGGGGGCAAATAAATTAGCAGCCGAGAATGATGCAGGAACAGCAAAACCTGATGAAAATGAACAAGAAGATGGAGAATTAGAATTTGACATTGTTGATGAGATCGAAGATGAGCCAATAGACAGAGGAGAAGATGAGGTAATCATGGCAACAGATGAGGAAGATAATGATAGTTTCACTGAAGAAATTGATGCAATGTTGGACGAAGGAATGTCTTTTTATAATAAAGAGAAAAGAAATCGAAAGAAAGCTAATTTCACTGAGAACTATGATGATTCAAGAGATTCTGATACACCTGAAGGACTGATTGGCATAACACACAAGACAGTACTGAAAGGTAATGTGACTGTTTTATTATGTTGCAGTCTCTTGTAATTTTGGTGAATATTTTTGGTAAAAAGTGATATTTTTGACTTCTTGTTAAAAACTGCAAGTCTGATTGCTTTGATATTATACATATACCCCTCATAGGTACTACAGGTATAGCTCTCTCAGATTTGTTCACTTTGTGATGATATCTTCAATTATCTAATTTTGATGAATATTTTTGTCAATTTTGGGTGAAGAGTGATATTTTACGAACTGTTGTTGAAATCAGCATATTGTTCATTTTCTAATGATATCTTTAGTTCTTTAATTGCAATGTGCATTGCTAACTCAGCTGACAGGCTGCTTGCTAGCCCCCATTCGGACGTAGTCCGAAAACGGGGACTTATGTTTTGCCCAGTGTGCGTCCGTGCATCCATGCGTCCGTGATCACCTGTATTTCGAACATGCATGGACTGATTAGGTTCAAACTTCACTCATACATCACACATTATATGGGATATATGCACATGCATTTTTTTTCATGATCCGATTAACGATAGCCGAATAGCGGCCATTTTAAGGCTGAAAATGCATTGAAATCGCACATTTTCACCATTCCGGACCCGGATCTCAGTTATGCATGGACGGATTTTGTTCAAATTTGGTACATACATTAAACATAACAGGACCTTGATGCACGTCATTTTTTTTTTCGGATCAAGTTCGAAATGGACGACTGGCAGCCATTTTGTTTTAAAGAATTCAGTTCTGGATCGGTATCCGAGACATGTCTGAATTGATCAAGTTCAAACTTCACACACACATGGTACATCATGTCACAAATAGATATGTGCATTTTTTTCATGATCCGCTTAACAATAGCTGAATGATGGCCATTTTAACGCCGAAAATGCATCAAAATCACGTATTTTCACAATTCAGGAACCGGATCTCAGTCATGCATGGATGGATTTTGTTCAGATTTAGTACAATGTGTTGTACATATGCAGGTGCATTTCGGATGAGATTTCGGTCATGATCTGCTTTGAATGTATATGTCACTCAAATATGAACGGAACGGGGACGTGTCATTGACAATGACTTGTTTGCTTGTATTTTGATGCTTCTATGAAAAAACATGGATAATATCTCAGATTGTGACTCTCCTCTCCTGCTTTTTATGCTTTGTGTGCACAGTATGTATTCTAGCTTAACCAGAAAAAGGTTGCCATGATTGTCACTCGGAGTGGCTGCATCCAGTATAACATATGGCTAAAACATTTGACAGTTCAGATTATATGTATTGTGTAATCTATTACAGCAAGAGGGCGTGCACCACTAGAACCTCTACCAGAAGGTTGGGTTGTGATAACGCATGGATCTGGTATGCCGTTATATTTACATAGATCTTCTAGAGTTGTGACCTGGTCAAGACCTTATTTTCTTGGTATTGGAAGTGCAAGGGTAAGACTGTTTAGATGTCCCACATGTTGGCTTACAATCAGAAATGCATACACATACCTGTGTTCCATGAAAAACCAAAGACCCTAGAGTCTTCTTTAGAGTCTATGAAAAAACAACTTATTATTATTATTATAGAGCGAGTATCATGCTATGAAATCTATTCCATATAACAGTTTTTCTATTTAACTTCTTCCATAGAATTCTACACATTCAATAAACTGAATCTCTTGCCTTGGTCAAGTCAGTATTGAAATATTTTGACACATTTTTTAATTTTTACAGAAACACAAAGTTCCAGTTTTGAGTATTCCATGTATGCACTACAAGCGAGAGACAGAGAAAAATGATGTTTTGGCAACTGAAGAAAATGCAGGTAAATTGTCTTGTTCTTCATCCTAATGCCGTGCTGATCTATGCATAATATTTGTTGTCATATATTCACATGCTGGTTGGCAAAAATGGCTAACAAATGTCCACCCTAGAGCAGATGGCAGTGTGGAGCTTGTAATGGAGCCAAATCGATCATGTTGGTCATAAATCTGATGAGCTTCGATTCTATTACAGTTAACATTGTAAACATATGACCATGTTTCAACAGTGTTCTCCCCAATGCATTATAGGGTAGTGAGCCACTACTCTGTGATTTACATCGATACTCTGACAGCATGCCCACAATTCTGATCACAAATCTGAAGACATTCCACCTTGGCTGATTCAATCTTAAATTTTATTTTCAACTTATGATGCACATTTACTATTTCTGATGTTCTTAAATTAGTATCACCAGAAAAATGTGTGGTTTACTGATATAAACCCACTGTTTTGGTCAGAGTCAAGTAAATTGCACAGCACTGAACATAATGTGACCGGTTTACAATTAGCATGAAGACAAGAAAACCTGCGTGGACAGCCCTCTAGATTGTGACCATTTTGGATGCCATGGTGATTATTAAAGTTTAATGAGTGGCGAATATGTAGATGTCCATTTAGCGACTAAAAAAAATCTAGCTGATGACAAAACTTTCTGTAATGTAAAACAGATTTTACAGCTTGTCAGCTCTTGGTGGCGCTTTTCTACCCACAATTCAAAATTTGCACATCCGCATTTTATTATCCGCCATAATAACATCTGACGATGGTTGCATGTTTTGCAAGTCAGAGCAATAAACCATGAATGATGCAATTAAAAGCAAAACTCATTTGTTAGTGAATTAGTGTCAGACTATAATGTTACATGGAACGTCGCTTCTGATTTTTAAATTGGGTTCAGTGGCAATTAGGAAAACAATTTAAATTTGAACAATAATCACATACTGGTAATCAAAAGTAGTATAAACACATTAAACTAAACAAAAAGACAGCATTGACACTTGCTAGCTGAATGAAACAAAAGTGTGAAGGTTGGTTTGTGTTGGGTGCAAAAGTTGAAACATGATAACACACTAGGCCAGAATTCCTGGTAATAGCGTACTCACTGACTGTTTGAAGGCAATGATAAAATTAATTTAAAAAGTAATTCAGTATCAATGCATCTATCGTCACTTTTACTATTAGTTTTGAAGTAAATCAAATAATATCTGAGTAGTGCCACAGAGGTGATGACATTCATTATCAACCTTTGATGACATGCACAAAGCTATTAGAGCAGCAGTAAAACAATATTTGTTGAGGGGGGGGGGGGCTATTTTACATGATTTAAATGTCAATTTTTATTGATGATTTTATAGTAACAACTAGATATAATTTGTATATATTAAAAAATATAACTGAATATTAGCAGCAACCCTGAGACAACACGGTTGTTTCGGATTTTTCTTGCATCATGGTATGTAATATTTTTGCCAAATCAATGAGAACAACAAAACAGTAAAAATAACTGCTAAAGTTTATGATTTGGTGGAATTTTGCACATTTAAAAATAAACTGCTAGTTTAGTTCTATCTTCTTTCAATAAAACATTACTGTACCCATGTATTTATATTTCTGTGAATGTCTCTGATTTCAGAAGATGCAACAAACTCTAGTAGCTGCACTGAAATCACACAACCACCTCTAGAGGGCAGTATACCACAGGGTGCAGATGAAACGAAAGATGAGATGAAATCTAAAATAGAAGTGTGTAAAGATGAATCTGTCAGTAAGTTAATTCACTTTCATTCAGCACAGTAAGATACACTGTTACCCTCTAATTTTATTGAAGATATGCTTTATTTAAAAGATTATTGTACTTGTCTATTACTGTAAAATACTGCAATTTTCGCTGAAAAAACTTTTTGGATGTTTTGTATGGAATTTATTTTTCACTGATTTTTGAAAAAAGGTATATTTGCTCGATTTTATTTTCACTGAATCATCCTTCAGTGAAAATAGCGAAAATTTATTCCAAGCAAAAATAAAGTATTTTACAGTACTATTACCAATATATATGTGATATTAAATTTGGGGAATCATGGAAAAATATGTTTATATATATTAGTATTTTATTAAGATTTTTGTATTTTCACAAAAAGTGTTGAAAATAAGATTATTCATTCTATGATGTGGATATAAAAATATCCACTAAAATCTGTTGCTTGTGGTGAATTGATGTTTACTTAACAACTACCAGCAAGACATGGAGTCTATTGAAAGACAAATTGAGAACAAATTTATTAGAAACTTTAGTTATTTTCAACATAAAAATGCCAATTTCACATTAAAATGCATGAAAACTTGTGTTGAGTACTTGTCAATGTTATCTGATAAAACTTGGAGTTGTAGACAATTTTATTCTAAAAACACACCATATTTTCCTGCAGCAATGGAAGAATTTGGAGAGTATGTTGGGAAGCTGTTTGAATTTGAAAATATATCAATAAAGAAATTCAAGTAAGTTGTTATTTAAATACAAAAGTTTTTTGAGATTGAGTTTACAGAACAGTAATATACCATGGATTATTGCTGCTATCACGATGATTGCATCTACTATGTAAAGCAGCTAAACAAGTATATTGCGCATTGTGTACTACATGACAATCTTCATACTCCAAGGACCGCAAAATGTTCATATTTACCAAGGGTTTTATTATTGTGACCTAATTAAATTTTAAAATAGATGTATTTTTTGTTGTAACTTTCTCTTAAATTTAGCTCAATGTCTAGTTGCAGTATATTCACCATGTATTTGTATGTAACCATGTGTCCTGTGTTTATTGCAGCTCGTGGTCTGCCAGAAGAAAACACAACAGAGAACAGAGAAGAAAACGAGCTACTGAACGTCCACAGTTCGTAAGTTACAAGTAGAAAGGAATACATTTGAATTATTTCTTTTTTACCACTAGGTGGATGTTTAGAAAAAAAAACATCATTACTTTTCTGGTTGGGGCAGATATGTGCATCAATACTTCTCTTGGCCATGTGTCTCAGTAGTGAATTAAAGCTTTAAAATTAAAAAGTTTTAAAAATGTATGTTATGAGCTGTAAGAAAAATGGTTCAGAAGTTGCAGCTAATACCATTTGTATGAGTAATATTATTATTTATTTCTCTATGGTAGCCTGGAATTTCAAATGTGGTGTCCTTGAAATTACCTGAAAATGGTCCAACGCACAAAGGAAAAAAAGGTATAAAACTTATTTGGTTGAAAAACTCAATTTGATTTCAATATTATGATATATAGAAGGTGATTTACTTCTTACTCAATTTGAACATTATGCATCTTCAATACAATAATGGAATTCTGTTACAGAAATAAGTAAAAGAAAAGCCATTCAAAGCATCTGTAGTATCTATTCATAAATAATTATTTTGAGAGATTAATTATAATCTAAATGTTGGGCTATTATAAACACTGCTGTCACTTTGATAGTTTTTTCACCCATATACATCATTTTAACATCACAGAAGCGATTTGCCATTGGAGTGCATGACATGTTGGTAAGCCTTACTAAGCACCAAAACAATAAACTTCGTCTTCCACCTCAAAGCAGATGTTTTATTTCTGTTTTATTCCAGAAATTACTCTGAATCTTCATAATAAAACTAATGTGTGTCTCCTACATGAATACTCCCAAAGAGTTTTAAAAGCACATCCTAAGTATATATTTAATGAAAATGGTAAGTACCGTAGTATGGGCAGGATTGCCCTCTAGAGGCAAAATAACGCCTTGCAAAGTGTACGTTTGTTGTCTACTTCACAGCTCGTTTTATATACCGGTACTCAATATTTAGGGGATTTCGCAGCACATACAAGTTGTTTTTATCACCACAATTCATTCATAGATTGCAAATTTCATGTACTGTTAGATTAATGTTTTATTGTGGAAACTTTGTTATTAAAACTATTTCATGAGGAATTTTTATGGTGCATTCAAATAAACACTTTTTTTAATTTCAACTGATTTTTTATATAAACCCAATTATTTTACTGTCATAGAATCAATTGAGCGAATAACATTCTGTAAGTGGTTAAAACATACATTTTTGGTTTACACTGTTAATATTTCAGAGAACGCTAGTGCTCCATTCCAGGCAGTCATTGAAATCAACAATGTAAAGTATGGTTCAGGATTTGCTAGCAATAAAAAACTTGCCAAAGAAGAAGCAGGTAATGTAATTAACATTTGAATAATTTTGAGATTGATATCAAGCAGTTCAGATCAGCATTAGCATTGGAGCTTATGAGCTGAGGGTTTATCATTTGAATAATTCTAAGATTGATATCAAGCAGTTCAGATCAGCTTTATCAAATACCTTATGTATACATAGGGCTATAAGCTGAGGGAAGTGGTTTATCATTCTGAAAACAATGTTATTGAAAAGTTTATGAAGGAGATTAATTTCCCCTTGATGTCCAACTACTTAGTTATAGCCTAGTTATAAGGAATGCAATAACATTTTGCATAATTATTAGATGCAGATAACATAAATTAGTATTGTATTGAAATTTCATAGGTTACAGTAGTGAATGTATATTAATAAAGGTTACTCGCCAGTTATGGAGTGATCACGCACCCAGAAATATGTAATTGACTGCAGCTAGACCACATATATGATTGAGAATATGATAGTCTCGTATAGAACTGTATTTTACACATGGAATAGTTATCAATTTTAGCTGTTAACAGTTTTGTTTGTCTTGAGTAGAAATGTTTTGATTCTCCAATTACTTTATTGCTAATATCAAAATAACGTTGTTTGTTGCATTGTAGCCAAGAGTACATTAGAAATTTTAGTTCCTGAATTGATTGCTCAAAAAGAGGAGCAGAAATCGGAGCCTAACAATTTAGAGGTAGGTTATATGAATAAGACTCTGACTGCTTGCACTACACTGTAGGTCACTTTTGAACAACTGACGAGATGTTTTACTTTGTCAGAATTTTGGGAGTGTGAGGCATTTTAAATTTGACTGGCATATCAATAGTACTCAACTCACCATGCGCATGATTTCACTCTTCATATTGAGTGATAAGATCCCAATTCTTCCTGTCACTTTCAAATCACAGAGAAGTTTTAGTGTACAAGCTTGTATTGTCTTGGAAACATCTAGTAGTTTTCATATAATTTGTTAATCGATTTTGTGTTCAATGTACACTGATAAAACTGTACAGAATTATTGTGTGTGTCATCTTGGTAGTCTAAGATGGTCAACATCCAAGTCAAATAAGTGATTATAAAATTACATGCTACTGGTTACCATGGTAACATGATTTATCTTCATCTTTCAGTACTTCGATCACATTGCAATAGAAGATTCTAGAGTTTATGATTTATGTCACAAAGCGGGACAGCTGTCACCATGGCAGATATTACAAGAGTGCCTTAAAAGGTATGTTCAATAGACCATTTTCCGTT